GGGGGCCCTCTGGCCCTTCTCCCTCCAGTGGCTCCACTTGTGTCCACGGTGGGAAGGCCCACGTCCTCACGACAGGGCACTGTTTCTCTGAGTCTCACTGCCTCACGTCCTCCCTCCTGGCCACTGCTCCAGGCTGCACCTCACGTCCAGCAGGCGGCCCCACGTTCCTGCCTCGGGGCCTTTGCACCTGCAGATTCCCCTGTCTGAGACTCACATCCCAGGTGTGCACCTGGCTGCCCCTCCCCTCCTTCTGCTCTTTCTTTCTGGTGTCTTCCTTTCCTACTCACGGGCCTCACGCCAGGTGAGCTGGCCTGGGGCACCCCTGTGAGCCGTCGCCCATGGGCTTCCCCCTCCTTCCCTTCCCGTCTTCTACCAGGTCCTGAGCTACGTGCCTGGGACAGAGGTGAGAGTGAGAAAGACCAACCCTGCCCTTCCACCTTCGTCCTCATTGTAGGGACCACGTCTCCATAGCAAGGACACCGAGCACTGGCAGCAAACCGAGGCTCTTGTGCAAGCATACCCAAATCTAGGAGGAGAAAGGCATAGAGGGGTTTGGGGCATGCCATTCCCTGGGGGAGTGATTTCTCACTTTCCCTCTCCCTGTTTCTCTCTGGTGAACTCATGCACTGTTTGGGGGACAAAAAAACAAAAACAAAAACAAAAACAAAAACCAGACAGCAGCAAGTGTAAGTGCGGGCTTGGAGAAACCAGAGCCCCAGACCCTGCTAGTGGGGAGAGTGAGGCAGCCGCTGTGGGGATGGTCTGGCAGCTCCTCGCAAAGCCCGGCTTGGTGTTGCCCTATAACCAAGCAGTTCTGTCCTGCGGTACACGCCCAAGGGAAACGAACATATGCGTCCATGAGAGATCTGCACAAACGTTCAGAGAGGCATTTCTCATAACAGACAAAGTGGGCAAGTCCTCAACGCCCGTCATCCAAGGACGGCCAGCCCACACGCGGTACCCACACCGCCGAGCGTCCTGGGCTGCCAGGAGGACAGAAGCTGAGGTACACCCTGTGTGAGCGGGCCTCGAGGCATCGTGCAAAGAGAAGGGAGCAGGCACAGAAGACCCCTTTAGGTGCGGCTCCATTTGAGGAAATGCCCAGGACAGGCAGCTCTGCAGAGACGGAAAATAGACGCGCCATCTCAGGGTCTGAGAGACGGAGGGACGGGGAGCACCTGCAATGGGCATGGGGTGCTGGGGGGAGGAGCGACCGAGGGCGATGGTGCCACAGCTCTGTGCCCCTGTGGAACCACTGACTCGTGGACTTCCAGAGTGGGCTTCATGGTGTCTGAGCTGCAGCTCCAGAAAAGCTAAGTTTGAAAAGGAGTAACCTCCGCTGCCAGCACGCGCACTCCTCTCTTCCACTTTCCCAAACGGTAGCATAGTTCGAGCCTGTGGGTGGCCGGGGTCTTGTGTGAGTGACTGGTTCCCTGGCCCAGCAGACAGCACTGCCACCTCCTGGGTAAAGCCGTTCTTGCTTGCTTTGCCGTGGCCAGCCACACTGCAACAGCTTCTGAAAAGTAACACGTATTAGAGGACTTGTTGCATTTTTAAATATTATATTTTCTTTTCATTTTAATTTGCCAGCGGGTACTATGCTCACCAGAGACAGAGAGAGAGGGAAAGAAAGAAATCACTTCCCAATGGGGGTGGTCACACCAAGCCCTTCTCCGTCCTCCTACCCTGTCCAAACGGGCATGCCTGCACACAGGGCATGTTCATCAAGCCACCCGGGCCAGGATGTGAGTCACACAGTTGGCTCTGCTGGATCCAGTTGCCTTAACCACCTTGCCGTGGAGCTACCCAATATTATATTTTCTTTTGAAGAATTATTTATTTAATTCCATTTGTTATTATTAGTTTTTAATTTCACCAGAGAGAAAGAAAGGGAAAGGGAGAAAGCAAGCTGCCAGGTCCAGAACTCAAAATGCAGTCGGCCACATGGGAGTCCAGTGTCTTTAACCACCACGCCACCTGCTGGCCCCAGTAGTATATTTTCAACATAGAAAACAAAGAGAAGGTCCAACTGGAAATTTATAAACCACGCCAAAGTCAAATACCCAGAGGTAATCACACTCTGCTGCACGTCTCTCAGATGTTGTGTATGTGCATTTTACTTTTTGCCTTTCCTTAAAAGCTCATTTGTGGGGGACCAGCAGCTGGCGTAATGGCTATGTCGCTGGACTCCCATGTAGTTGACCGTGGTTCGAGTCCCGGACCTGGTGGCTTAAATTCATGCCAGATGCGTGTGTGTCTGTGCCCAAGATTCCAAAAGGAAAATGGAGAAGGGATTGTAGGCCATCCCCCTGGGTGATTTTTCGCTTTCTGTCTCTCTGTGTCTGTGTCTTTCTGGCGAGTGCACGCGCCCTATAGCAAAAACCTCTAAAAAAAAAAAAAACCTTATTTATGAGCCAGCAAGTGGCAAAAGTGCTGGATTTCTACAACTGCATTTTGAGTCCCAGATCCAGCAGCTTGAAAATCACTCCTGGGCACACGTATGTGCATGCCCAAAAGCCCCAAAGGAAAACAGAGAAGGGACTGTGGTGTGGCCATCTCCCCGGGGGTTTACTTCTCAGTTTCCTTCTCTGTCTCTTTCCAGTGAGCGCACACACTCCATGGCAAAAAAGCTAAAAAAAAAAAAAAAAAAAAAAAAAAAAGCGTATCTGTTTATTTCCTCCATGAGTGAGAGAGGGGGGAGTCGGGGGTCTTGGCACGGTCTCCACCCGCAGCTCAGCCAGCCCTGGACAATGGGCAGGCTGGTGCATTCCTGGGCTCCTGACGCGATCCAGCGACCTGCCACGTGGGTCAGCTTTTCCCATGTCACTGTCTGGCCCCCACTTTTGCCTCCTAATTTAACGATAGTCGTTTCAATTTGTTTGGCTCTTACTACAGGCCGAGCACGGGCTACGTATCTTGTAAGCACTCACCTCTCAAAGCAACCCCATGAAGCAGATATTATTATTCTACTTGACGGACGAGTTCACTGAGGCAGGATCATTCCACGATCCAGACCTGGGAGTGCCTGTGCCACTTTACCGTAGCATAATAACCTCAAATTGGCTTCAATCTGGTGACCTTTGAGTCCTGTCAAGGCATATCTCTCTCTGTGTAATTTGCAATAGTTTCCCGCCGTTACATGGCTTCTCCCTGTTGTTAGCCCTTGGGGTAGCTTTGGCTGCTCGGTAGTGGAAGTGCCACAGGCCGAATACCATAGTGCACGCTGATTTCCCAGGTCAGGCCCCTCAAGGTCAGAGAACGTGCCAGGCCCTCACTGCTTCCATGGCTCGGCACCCTGCCCGACTGCAGCAGGACGCACACTCTAGCTGCTGGCAGTCCTCTTGCTCTGTGGGCCCAGGCCCAGGTGGTCAAACCATCAAATCCTCAGGTAGAAGGGATTGGACCAGGCCTGGGCACAGACCAGTCAGTTCAAAGGAGCTTTGGTTCTGGGTCCTTCGTTTGCACAGTTGGTGAAAGAAATGCCGCTTCCACAAGGGATGCTGAGAAAGGGCACGATCAGGGAGCCTCTTGCGCTGTCTTCTCGCCATGGGAGAAGAGCTGGCCTGAGAATGGAGCCAACAGAGGGGAAAGCAGAGCGGGAGATGGAGAAAGGAACAGGGAGCCCTGCTGGCATCACCTAAGCCCTAGATCCAGCCGTGCCTGAAACCCTAGACTCGGTTCTGACAGACAGTACCACCTTGCCCCTTAACACTAACTAGTTAGAGATGCATTTCTGCCACTTGAGCCAGAACAAAGTGTTTCATTTCAACACATTTTAAAGAGAGATTTTGGCTATAGAGCATGTGCTCTTACCAGAGAGACAGAGAGATGGAAACTGAGAAGTCACTCCTCAAGAGAGTGGCCACGCGACTATCCCTCTCCTCCATTCTCCTCTTGGGATTTGGGGGATGCACATGCACATGCCTATTGTGTGGAGTTTATTTATTTATTTATTTATTTAGAGAGATTTTGCTAAAGAGTGTGTGCGCTTGCTGAAGAGACAAAGAGACAGAAAGTGAGAAATCCGCCCTCCAGGGGGATGGCCACACCACAATCCCTTCTCCTCCGTTCTCCTCTTGGGATCTTGGACACACAGGCACACATGCCTGGTGTGTTTTAAGCCACCGGGTCTGGGACTCGAACTGCTGTCGACTACGTGAAAGTGAAATGATGTGACCATTATGCCACCTCCTGGTCCCCATAGTGTGGGTATTTTTAAACCATCGGGTCCGGGACTTGAACTGCGGCCGACTACATGGGAGTCCAACGAGATAACCGTTATGCCATCTGCTGGTCCCTCATTTAAACACTTTTGGAAACGTTGTCAAACTCCTGGGAGGAAGGTTAAACCAGCTCATGCTCCTCCAGAGTTGCCCATTCCGCACACTGGGGGTGGTTGTTGAATCTCTATCGCGGGATTCCAACCAGACCTTCACAGAGGATCCTCCATCATAGGATCCTGAGTTTTAGAACCAGACACTTCCACTGGGTGCATGCAAGAAATCCCGTATAGGATGGCTACTGGCCGGTGGCGACTTGGCCGGATCGCGGGTGCTCAGGTACGTGGTCAAATGTGTCCGTTAGGGTTTCCGGGATGAGACTAACACTTGAGTCGGCGGACTGAGTAAAGCAGTTGGCCTGCCTGGTGTGGGTGGGCCTCCTCAGTCCACTGGAGGCCTGAACAGAACACAAGGTGGGCTAAGGAAGGACCCACTCTCGCCTTGGACCGTCTCCAGCCTGAGCTGCTGTTTCTGTGCTGCATGGGCACTTAGCCCAGCAGCGCTGGGTTCTCAGCCTCCACACGCGGGAGGGAGCTGCACCACCACCTTTCTGGTCTCCAGCTTGCGGGAAGGCGATCGTGGGATTTCTCAGACTCCATGAACATGAGAGCCAGCCCCTTCTAATAAATCTCCCAGTGCTCTTATTTCTGTGGAGAATCCGACTGATACAGTGTGAGAGCCTGGAATGCAGAGATGACCTGGAGCCTGAAGATGTTCATTAATATTCGCAGGAGTAAGGAGTTAGACCGGACCTACAGACTGGAAAACTACAGACAGAATATGGTCCAATCGCCTAAAGTAATGTTAATGAGGGGTTTTTCTTTCTAACAAAGTGGAAAAAAAAAATACCTGCACTAATACCATGGGAAAAGCCAGAATTAAAAAATCAGGTTTCCAGGAACAATAACAACACTCTCATTTCTTGAGTAACTAAGTGCCAGCCAGCGTCCTGTGCATTTGACGTGCATCATGGAACTTAGAAAATTCTTACCATTGTTTTAAAAATATCAGGAAAAAAGTCTTGGGGGTTATTTACTCAAATGCCAGTGGTGTGTGTCTTTGAAGAGAAATGGTTCTTTTCTTTTTAAACTTTGCTTTAAACTTTTTGCCACATTGAACATGTAATGCTTTTATATTTAAACAAAACTTAAACAAACTGGATTTTGAACATAAGACAGAGCCTCAGTCTCCTGTGTCTGACCTGTCACCCATCTGTTTGAGACCATGGAACCCACAGAGTGGCCGACAACAGGTGGGAGGTGCCCTCACCCTCTCTCTGGAGGCCGCTTTCCCTAGAATCTGCCCCTGCAGTTAAATTCAAAGTTACTGTATAACTGCTGCATCAATAGAGCTAACGGTGGTGACACCATCTTATATGCAAATCACTCATTTAATTGTCCTGCCAGCCCAGCATAGTAATTACCCATCAAGCGTAATTAGGCTTTTATTATCTTTTAAAAGTTGCATTAAAAGAAAGCATCTTAAATTGGAAAGAAACAGTCCATGTCACAAGTCAGTTAGGGAAAAACTGCTTTTCTGTTCAGAGGGCCCAGTGTGATCATCGTAACATCCACCCCAAATTAAACGCTCACCATGTAGCAGGCACCTTGCAAAGCATGTTGCATTTGATGTCTCAATCTGTGTTTCTCACTGCCATGCGAGAAAGTTCACCCTGTTCACACAGGACGGCAAATGAAGAAACACACACTCAGAAAGGTTAAGTCACCTATTGAGTGGGCAGATAGAGAATCTAAGGCTGGGAGGGGACAGACAGTGGCACAGGGGTAAAAGTGAGAAGCTCTGAGAGGCATTTCCGCATGGGAGGGTTCTCAGTTTGAGCCCAGACACCTCCCTGAGTATACAGGGCACACACTTGCCCACGACCCAGGGGTGGCTGGAGCTGGGCTGGATTGCAGCTTTCAGATACTGCAAGGGGGTGTTCTCTCTCATGCATGCGAGCTCTCTGTGTCTCTCCTGCTTGTGGAAGAAGTGAATAGAAAAACTTTTAAAAAATGTAAGCCTAGGAGCATTTAACACAGAAGCCAGGGGGTCTTTTTTTTTTCTTTTTTAAGAATTATTTTATTTAACTTTTTAAAATTTATTTACTTATTTTAACTTGACCAGAGAAGAACCAGAGAAGAACAGAGCATGAGAGAGAGAGAGGGAAAGTGAGAAAGAGAGCTGCTAGATACAGGACTTCAACAGTGGTCAGCCATGTAGGAGTCCAACACCCTTA